TGTCTGACTTCCCAAGCTGAGAAGGTGTTCCTAAATACAGCAAGGGCCATCTGTGTGAAACAGAGAGTAGGGTAGCAAACTGAGGCCAGGAACTTGACAGGCAGAACAAGCAAGCCCACATCCTGGGTGCAGCACGTCTCAGAGACCTTGATATAAGCACAGCGCTTTGCACCTTACAATGCAATCTCATCTATATTTTATTCACGTGTCCCCATCATGGGGAGACCTGGAGACCTCTACCAAGTCACGCTTTTAGCGTGAAAGTGAGCCCTGGGGTTTTGACTCTGAGTTTGGTTCCCTCTCTAGCCTGTGTATCTCCCACCGTGAAAGTGGGCAAGCCTTACATCCCGGAAGGGCATCCCTTGTCTATGGGGCCTTAAAAATATCCTAGAGGGTGTGAGAACAGGGCATAATCAGCAACCGAGAGGATCTTATGGAGAAACGAGAAATAAAACCAGGAACCACAGACATTTATGCTCCCAGCTTTTGCTTCCAGCCTTTTTCTCCACTCTCCTCTTTTCCTGAGTTCCTTCTGGGGCCCCATTCCCTCCACCCACACACCACATTCCTTGTATTTTTCTTGAAGTTCATGTTTATCTACTGTCACTGAATGAAACGGTTTGCCTTTGGGCTATTTGTGCTAAGAAGCTGTCTCCCGAAATCCGCATTTTGGGGACATACAAAATTATCTATGTACATCATCTATATGTCAGTCATGACACTGAATGTAAAATACCTGTAAAACAATGTCTTAAGAACTACAAAATAATATCAATGAATCTTCCTTCCCAAGGCCCCTCTCTTTTCTTCCTCAAGTATGCCTATCCTAGGTTTTCTTTATCATTCTCTGGCTTTCCTTTAAAGTTATCCTTACGTAGGTAACCCTCAACTGTGTGTGGGTATGTGGGCAAGGGGTTGTTTTTCAGCTCTGTACAAATGCCGCTATGTTCCGTATCATCTTTCTTGGTTTTTCCTCTCAGCATCACGTTTCGGTGATTCATCCGGGATGCTGCATGTACCTATATGTAGTTCATTTATCTTCCCTACTGTCTAGTGTTTTATTCCATTTATCGATTCGCCTGTTGAAGGATAATGGGGTAATTTTCAGTTGTCTGGTTTTGGTGCAGGTGTTTTGCTTTTAGAAATACGATTACGTGACATTCTTATATGTGTTTTCTGATGCATATGAATAAGAGTTTTTGAATTGAAAAGGGGCTAAGAGTCTGTAGATGTGATCCCGCTATGAGCCTTCTAATTATTAAATGATTCTCATTATTCTGCTCCAAAAAGCCACCTTGTTTTCCTGGCAGAATTTATTTTCCAAAGGTGAGTTTTCACTTCACGACTTCCTGAAAAATGACTGTTCAGCCATGGTTCATCTCTCTCTCATTCTGACACAGTGGGATAGTTTGAGAAGAAGAAAGCCCTTGGTTTGAAACGTGGCTCTTCCATTGACTAATAATGACCTTGGATAAATCTTGTTTACCTCAAAGCTTGCACTGAAAATCCAGGAAGTGTCATTACAAGAGAAATTTTCAGGATTAGGGCACCCAAAGACACGGAACTAGAAGCATATGCTACAGTCATTAGTATGCGACGAAAGGGCAAGAACATAGGCAGATCGAAAGGAATCTCTAAGTCTAAACAAAGTATCCACTAAGCATCTTACAATGACCCAGGCTGCTGTCACTTCTTCATCTCAGATTGTCCTGGACTCAAATACACAGTCAGGGGAGTCAATGGAAAGGGAGGAAGAGAAGAAACTCTCACTGAGGGGATCTTATGAACTCCTCCAAGACAAGGTAAAAAAGTTCATCTTCTTCATAATTTTTCCTTTTTTTTAGAGATGGGAGAAAGTTTCTCACCGCTCTCTTCCCAAATCTCAATCTACCTCTCCCAGCACACACACACACACACACACACGCACGCACGCACGCACACACACACACACACACACCGTGTTCTATTTTATATATAGATATATACAGATATATAGATATAATTTTCTATATATTATGATGCTTTGATATCTTAATAAAAACCCTTCTGCCTGGGAAGAGACTGTCCCTCCCTGGACCAGACAATTCTTAGAGGTAGGAAAGGATCCAGTACGTCTTTCATATGCAAACTAACCAATCCTCCATCTGGTCCATACACCCCCGGAGACAATATCCCTCTGCCTTAACCAGCCCAGGACCAGGTACCAGGCAACTAGGGACCATCCCTACAGCCCAAAGTTCACTGAATTGTTCAACTAGCCAGTCCTAGGCTGTTCACTCTGCCCTTTCCTGCCTTGCCCTCAGAAACCCCAATAAAGGCCTCAGTCTCAGAGTTCACCCCGCTCCGGTCTTCTCTCCTGTCCACCCTGGTGTCTTTCCCATGTGCCCTGAGCCACTCGTCTCCTGTCTCCAGCACCTGTGGATAGAATAACCTTTGTTTTCCTGAGACTCTCTGTGTCTCCTCTTGTGGTTGCACCTATCTTGGAAAAGAATGCAAGCCTGTTGTGATTTAGAATTTATCATGACTCTTGCCCAGGTGTTGCCAATGAGCAGACTAGGGTTGGTGTGCTAGAGGAGTATCTTGAATCTTAACCCCCCCCTTTGCCTTTATTTACACCTGTTTTATTTATTTATTTATTATTATTATTATTATTTTTTTGCGGTACGGGCCTCTCACTGTTGTGGCCTGGCCTCTCCCGTTGCGGAGCACAGGCTCCAGACACGCAGGCTCAGCGGCCATCGCTCACGGGCCCAGCCGCTCCGTGGCATGTGGGATCTTCCCAGAGCGGGGCACAAACCCGTGTCCCCTGCATCGGCAGGCGGACTCTCAACCACTGCGCCACCAGGGAAGCCCCTACACCTGTTTTAAAATGCCATGGAAAGTGACCACTCTCCTCCATCCAGAAAGAAACGTGAGCCATTCCCAAAGGCAAGAGGAGACAGACTCATATGCCTGTGGCAGTTTTGTTTCATGGCCCGCTGTGCTTCCTGGGAGGGTCCCCAAGAATGGAGGGCCTTGGCTAGTTTACGTCTTGGGTCTCCACGTTTCACATCTCCCTCTGACCCCGAGCCTCAGCACCTTCACCTGTCAAAGGGACCTTATAGTAGATAACTATTAAAAAACATGACAGTCATTACGACTAATTACAACTTTTATAGCTGCTTTGGAGATCCGAGATGAAAGATGCTTCATGAAGGCAGATATGGTGACAGGTGAGCCATGCAGTTAATTAAACAATCTCGTGCATAATCACACGCAGTGTTCAATTGCCAGGAAGCTGGGTTGTGGCAGCTCCCAGGCCCCTCCCAGATGCTGAGGTTCAAGAACATCTTTCAAGGCTCTTCAGTCAACTCATCACACCTGAGGCTCCCGGAGCTTGCCCCTCCTCTGTAAAAGTACCAGTACACAGCTCACGGGCCTTTTGTCCACACAAAAGCATGGTGAGGTAACTAGCAGGGCCTGTGGTAAGTGTTCTAAAGGCCTTGCTTTGAATCCCTGCTTTGAATCCTGGCTCTTATTAGCTCCTAGTTCTGAGCAAATGGCTTCATCCCCCCAAGTCTCACGTGCCTCATCTATAAAATGGGATAATAACTGTACCTAACCTTTGTTGGAGGTATTGGTGATTAAATAAGATATTTAGTGTGTGGTCAGTTTTCATTACATGAAACCTATTGTTGGTATATTGCAAGTAACTGGCACTTTCTTGGAACACGGTTAAGCAATCTGTCCATGGTTGTCTAAGGCAGCCTTTCCTTCAGGCTGGAGACAGTGACAATATTTATCTCTGTGAACAAAACAAGCTTCTTTTCTGTGCAGATGAAACTGGGTGGATGGATGTTCACCAAACTTGGAGGGTGTCTTTAGATCTGGTTTAAAATAAAAGCTAAGCGGTGGATAGGATTCCACCTGGGCTGTACCTAGAAAAATAGGCAAGCATCTTCCAGAGCAGCTGAAACAGATAATAGCCTATGGCCCACGTGGCTCACTGATCAGGAAAGCAGTTCAAGGTATATGAAGACGGGGCCGGTGGGTTGGTGGGTGGAGGGAAAGAGAGAGAATATAAAAGTAAAGATAGATGTCTTCAGGGGAGGTATGGTCTAAGAAGACGCTGTTTCTTACTAGGGCAACTTGGTATGGCGGGGGAAGCAGCCATAGGATTTATTTCATGATAACAGCTAGTTTAAAATAAACCCACAGGGAGGATTCCAAGTAGCCAGATTCCTTAGTTTGGTTCCTGGGTTACTTACGCTAAGAACTCAGGGAGAAGAGTCTCCAGTGGCGTTGACCCAGTGACAATCCCACCCTCCCCCGTAGCAAGTGGAAGAAAATCAGGACGCACGGAAAAACAGCAGGAGGGAGGAGGTCAATGAGTAACGTCCCCACTCTTACCCGGGGAACATTCCCCGTGTTCTAGAGCATGGCGGATACCGGAAACTCCCATCTGGAAGCCCACCCAGCCGACAAAGCCTTTTCACTTTCACGTGCCCCTTGGTTCTTAGCAGGAAGTGCTAATGCTGATTTATTCCCCACTTGACCACCATAGCAACTGAAGCTCGAGGAGGCTGAGGGCCTTCCCTGAGTCACACAAAGAGGCCTGCAATGGGCCTAGTGGCCTCAGAGGATGTGTTATTTCAAGAGTTGGGCAGTTGGGTCTGATGGGAACAAAGGAACAGCATGGGGACCTGGGAATAGGGGTTTGGGGCCCGCTGAGTGAGACAAGGAGCGGGCGGGGACTGAAGCCCTCTGTTCTTTGGCAAGAGGTAGGTGGATGAAATGACCTGTTGCCTTCCTTGATCTTACGAGCAGCTCAGCTCTCGGATCCCGGTGGTTCTGCCGTTTTAGTGGTAGCTAACCGTGCTGCAAGGCAGCAGAGAACGCTCTCGAGTGTGCAGTTTGGGGTGTGGGTCTCCAAGGCCAGGGCCCCAGCACCTGGGCTCCGGTGTGCACCTTGCAGGCCCCGGAGTTGGGAGCGGCGGCCGCAGCGGGGCCTCCGATCTTACCTGCTGTCGATGGGTGGCCAGGCTGGCGGCCCCAACAGGAAGCAGGCGGCTGGATCGTAGACAGCAGCCCTCTCTGTGGTCTCGCTTTGTATCAGCCCCGATGGGCTCTGCTGCTCATCGGTTTGTACATGCAGTTTTGTTTCTTCAGCAGCTGTCAAATCAAATTGATTTTCAGTCATTTTAACCTGCGTAGGACCAGCAACCCACTTCCCGCAGGTGAAAAGCTAGTTTATCAAAGGAGTCATTTATCCAGTTCTCTGCAATAGGGACAGGATTTTTGAGTGGCTTTTGGAAAACAAATAACCCATTCCAAAGGGGGTTAGTAACAATAGTCGTAACTACCGTTTATGAAGCATCTACTACACGTCTTTACTTTAGATCCCTTTTATTCTTCTCCAGCCATCATTTCAGGGAGATAATAGCTCAGTTGATGGGTGCTTACTTCTCATGCCTTCTCTGATTAAATCCTAACTACCCAGTGCTGTGTGTATTATTATCCCAATTATTTAGCAAATGAAACTGAAGCTCAAACAATCTCATGTAACTTGTGCAGTCATGCAGGCAATGCAAGAGCTGGGATTCTGACTCAGGGCTGGGTGTCACCAACCCACACTTTTTCCACCTGAGCCTCTTGGACTAAGGTTTTCTCCCTTATCACCTACCGTGTTTGCCTTCGGATTCTGACTCACCTGGAGTAGCAGGCCCATCGGGCACTCATTTTGGAAACAGGGACATTGCAAGGGTATTGAGAGAGAAGATCAGAAGTAAAATGCCCCGGCGAAGTCGATGTCAGCTGTGGACAAGTTCAGCCCAGCAGCCTATGGCCAGGGCCCTGGGCTGGATCTCAGGCAGGCTCAGCGTCCGCAATGGTGCAGAGGGAATCTGCCCGGAGAGAAACAGAAATGCAAATCCTGCTCCTTAGATGGTCATCAACCTTAAACGAAATGACGCAGGTGAATGGCTACTACAGACCCTAGGATAGATACACTCGGCCCTCGGTGAATGCCTGATCTAGCATCAAGTTAACCAAGAGACCAATTTTCCCCTTTTTTTCCCTTTCTCACCAAGGATGAAATCACCCAGCCGTTTGGCAGGATGGTCAAGCTCCAGCCCTCCCAAGCTGGTGACCTTCCTGGGATAGGTGTGATGGGGGCAGGAGTTTGAAATAGCCACTGAAGTCAGGTCGGAGCTGCCTGTCAGGGGTGGCCAGATTTAGCCAAAAAAAATACAAAAAGCCCAGTTAAATTTGAATTTCAGATAAACAACGTGCACTTGTTTGACTTAAGTGTGTCCCGACGCCTTTCCTCTCCTCTGTGTTCTGGGCATGCATCCCCACGGTTAGCTGTTCTCGGCAGAGGGCAAGCCCTGCAAGAGGCTTGGACCCTGGACGTACCTGGCACTATCCCTTTTGGATACTTGGAACCGGCCAAGGAGACACAGTGGCCCTGGGGGGACACAGTGTCGGTCCCCCTCCCTGCATAGGGACAGATGGGGGATTTGGAGGCTGCAAACGTTGGCACTGATGATGAAAACCAGGTGTTTCCTGGGGAAAGGCTTTATGCCATGGGAAGTGCTGCCACCCTGGGCCTTTCTGGAAGAATCTGCTCCTAAGTGGGTCTCTCCCACAATCTGCCCCGTGGGGCCCATTCAGAGGGAGGTCCCTGGATTGAAGAGGCCATGACACTGGCTCCCAAGACCACACTTGCACAGTGGCCGTTTCCTTTTCTCTCTCTCCTCTTCCTTCCTCTCTTCCCACATCTCTTGGTCTCTCTCGTTTTTCTCCTATGCCCTCCTTTCTCCTCTGTACTGTAAGGCAGTGTGCGTGGTTCTCAGTCGGGCCAAGCGTACCCCCAGCTCCTGTGGCTGGAGCCTGCGCTGACAGGAGGCTGAGAGCCTGCGCACGGAGCCCCTCAGTGGCTGTGATGCGTCTTCTACTGTCCTGGCTGTGAGGCTCAGGCACCCGGTCCAGCCCCACCCTCCCGGGACATTCCCCCGGCCCTGCGCTGGCACGGCTGTTGGGATCGGCAGGCCCTCACCCCAGGGCCTTGCCTGGATCCCAGCACACCTCGCCTCCATTGCCCAAGGACTGGCAGCGTGCCAAAGAGCTCTGGTTAGAACAACATTTGGCAGCTAGAGGTGGCTCAGCAAAATGGTCCTGGCCTGGGTGCAGCGGGAGCTGGGCCTCCTGGAGTGTGGGGCGTGCAGCCTCGGCGGCTTCTGTCTGCAGCAGAGCCCGGGGAACAGCATCCCCACTTCCCACCCCACTCCCCATCCCCATCCCCATTTCCCACCCTCGGTCCCCCCGCAATCATATCCCTGGATCCTGGTGCTGCAGGAGACTCCATGGATCTCAGGCACTGGGAGCGTGCAGCCCGGCCTGAAGCAAAATGTCAACAACCACAGCTGCCATTTCAACGCAGCGCTTGGGTGTCGAGCTCGGAGCTGCACGCTTCACACACGTTATCTCAACTCTGCTCATCGCAACCCTCTACGGTGGACCTCATTATGATTCCCATTTTATAGTCATCTCAATAACTCGGTTTCAGGCAGCCCTTTAAGCTCCTGACATTCCCTGACTTTCGGTTATAGCTTGTTTAATCCTCACAGCACCACTATGAGGTGGGTACTAGTCTGATTCCCATTTTGTAGCTGGGAAAACTGAGGCACAAAGAGATGAGTAACTCCCAGTGGACCTGGGAGTCAGACCCAGATAATCTGGTTCCAGAGATGAAGCCCTTATTCTGCATAAGGTCCCCCCCAAATAAGCAAAAGCGAGTTCAGAAAGGTTAATTAACTTGCTTAAGGTCACAAAGCTAAGATGTGTCAGAGCAAATGGTGGGACTCAGGTCTGTCTACTCAGAGCTCCGTTCTCATTCATTATGCCACAGTGCTAAGTTTCATACAGATATACAAATGGAGCGCCATATGTGTGTGTATACACATCTATATTCTATAGAACTAGTAAACAAATAAATGAGCTATATAGCATTCATTTGTTTAATATTTAGTTTTGAGACAGAGAAGATTTAAAAAACACACATATGTACATATCTATGACAATTCATTAATAGTAAATATATTTAAAACAAACCCATGTTAACAATCCATGATTGACATTATAATATGCAGAATATTTTGAGAAATGGGAAAATAACATGTCATTGTCCAACAGGCTCAATGAGGGAAGCTAGCCACATGAGTATATTTTTAGTTCTAATTTTAGAAATCTTCAAAGCAGGTAAGGGTTCCACTCTGAGAGAAAGAAGGAAGCTCAGAAAACAACCACCAAGGACCTGCAGCAAACATGGGAGCTAACTGGTCCTGTCTGCCCCCAGACGCTGTTCTTTACTACTAGTCTATCCTGCCTCTTCCATGAATCCAAACTACCAGGCAGGCCTCAGGGCGTGGGTGCAAAGGGGTCTGGGAGCAGGTGGCCAAAGCTGCAGTGATGAACTGTGATGGGTACCTTTACGTCTCAGCTAGCCCAAGAGCCCTGCCCATGTGTAGTGGGGAAGCTTTCACCTGGGGCATTCGCCAGCCCGGCTCACAGGGCTTAATTCAGTTGCAAAATACCCTAAACCCCAGCATTTTATCATTCTCCTCTGGAGTCTTTTGGCTTGGGAACAACTGTGCTGGCCTGTGTGGAAACAGCCCGACAGCTCCGTGCTTGGACTGTGCAGAGTCGGAGGCAGGTGCAGGCCAGCCACAGGCCCAGGATCTGGAAACCGCCTTCTGGGTCCGAGGGGGGGCCGCAGCAGAGCCAGAGCTAGCCTGTGCCTTTCAGGGAGTTTGCTTCTTAAGAGCCTGCTGGTCCATAATTACTGATGAGCTCACAGGAAAGAAGCCATAAATTGGCAGTGGAGGGGGCTTGGTGGGCAGGGGCAGTTACAGCTCATTTTCCCTGCAGACCAGCTGCAAAAAAGGATTGAGGGAAGACCTCCCTCCAGCTGCCTCCTTCACCTCTGCTCTTCCCTGCGCTCCCCTGGATGAACCCAGCTCCCTTTCTCCTGCTGGCTTGGCAGGTGTCTGCCAGTCACACTGTTAAGTTGCCCCAGACCTGCCCGTGTCGGCCCCATCTTGCCACTCCTACCCGTCTGCTCCCAGGACAGCAACTGAGCAAAAAGCCCCACACGTGAACTAGCATCAGCGAGACAGCCTGAGAGCCTCTTGGCCTGGGACACTGGGGCAGGAAGCTCTGCCACTGGAGCAAGGTGACATGGGCGTGAAGCTGGGGCCCTGGACTTCCGGGAGGGCAGAAAGCACCAGGTGAGAAGAGGCCTCCGTGGGAAGTGATGCTGGCTAGTAACACTAACTGCCGTGGTCAAGGCCTTCTGCGTGTCAGGAAAAGATGCTTTGTGCCTGGAACCCGAGCATCACTTTACCTGCCTGGGCAGCACATCACGCACACTGTGGTCTCTCTGAGGCCAGTCTCACCTCTTCCCCATGTGCCAAAAGGAAATAGTAATCTGACAGCTAAGGATTTGGAAAACGTAGTTTTCTTCTGAAGCTTTCCTGGGAAAATGGAGGAGGGGGTTCCATCAAGCACCAGAGGATTCTGGGAGATCCTCTTTCACCATCGTTGCTCCAGCTTCCTGCGGCAGCTGCCCCCTCCCTTCGTGTGCCCCAAGAATCTCCCCCAGCCGTGTCTCCTGTCACCTGGCTTTGCATCCCTTGCAACTGTCCCTCAAACATCCTTCAGCTCTCATATCTCGCTCTACAGAACAGAAGGGATGACTCTTAACAACAGAGAAGTCTAGTTAGCAGATCTCAGATCATAAGCAAGTCCTCAGAGACATAGTTCATCTAACAATATACCCATTATTTTTTACTTTATTAATTAAAAACTTAAACAGAAAATGATGACACCCATGTACCCACTAACCTAATTGGACCGATATTCATATTTTCTCCTTTCTTTCCTTCAGATCTCCCATTCTCCTCTCTCTCTCTCTCTCTCTCTCTCCCCCCCGCCACCTCTCTCTCTAACACCTTATACAGAAGGTAAAGCCCTACAGCCCATTTCTATTTTCTCCCTCTTTGGAAACGTTCCCGCGCACGTCTGGTGAGTGTCATTTGGTCTGATTCCAGGACAGCACCATGGTTTTGAATGCAGACTTGGAAGCCAGACAGCCTGGCCATGAGCTCCAGCTCTGCACCAACTAGCTGGGTAAGGTGGGACAAATTGCTTTAACTTTTCTGTGCCTCACTCAAATAAGGAAGACGATTGTAAATTAATCTTGGGTACAACAGTCAAATGTTAATAGATTTAAAGTGCCTAGAACAGAGCCCAGAAATAATAAATGCTAATAAAGATTAGCTATAATTATGATCCATACACAATAACTAGAATAGTTTTTTTGGGGGGGGTTAAGATTTGCCTAAACTGTGTCATAGCACTACACCTATACACAGACAGACACACACACACACTCCTTTTTCACCTTTCTCCTCTCTGTGCTCCCACTGTGTTCAGACGTACCATTTTGATCCACGTAATACATTCACTGTAGTTGCTATGGAGTGGTATATCCTTGTTTTTTTAATTTACATTTCCCTGATTACTTTCTCTAAAATGTATTTGGAAAAGTGAGAGCCAAAGCAATTTTTAAGATGAGGAAGAATGAAAGGAGACTCGCCCTGTTGTA